TCAACCACTGGTGAAGGCGCGGCCTTTCGCAAACCTGACGTAGCATACCCGACCATCATTGCACAAAGCGCGAGCATCTGCGGTGGCTGTGTGATACTGCTGACTTTAGTAGGTATGTGGTGATGTAGGTACTGCATTACGCCGGTAGTAAACCACTTGTCCAGCGGCCACCGTTGTTTATTGTCGTTTAATTATGGGTTTGAGGGGGAATAGGAAACATCGGGCAAATGAACTTTATGCTTTAAACATCGAATCTTCTAAACTGCCTCCCGGACTTGTCCTGCTGCCCATTGTCTGTTAAAGGAATCCTCTCTTCTTTCCGCTCACTCATCCTGTCAGCCAATTGGCCAGCTGCACCCAGCCTGGACATCAGATAGGAACCACTTTTTTGACAGGAATGCATTAATCTCACTGCATTTCTGTTGCTAGGTTTAAGTGTCACTGTTTTGAGATTGGAAAACCTAAAACGTAAAACTGCAGCGCCCGCCCCCCACTTGCGGGCTGGGTCTCACCTGATTACTGGCTTTTCTGGGAGTCTAACCCTCCTATGCAAGAGTCGAACTTCACTGTTTACAACATGTTTTAGCACTCACTTACCATTTATATCCAGCTCCCTTCGAATGTCTAGTTTTTTTTCGTATTTTAGGTCCTGTCAACGTAATAACTAGTATATTTTAGTAACAGTGAATGATTTCATTACACATCCGTTGTGTCGCCTCTTTGTGTTAATTATCTGTCGCTCATTTTAGTGGTCCCGGGATTTATGTCTCTTCAATTCATTTGTCTAATTAGGCTGTTGACAATTTGGTGCGATGTCCGCCAGCTGTCCTTTTTTTGTGCACTTTCACATCAGTCTGTCTGTACGCACCTGATAATTTGCTTCTGCTTGCCGATCCTGTTTTTCATGTGAAGTTGGAAGCCTCATAAGTGAACCTAATGATGCCCGTAATCTGGGGTATGTAAGTTGGTATGCCATATGCCACTGACCTCTTCGTACCATCGTCGTTGATTATTGGTTAGTTAAACGTAGGCACCCTCTGTGAACTACTGCATCAAAGCCTAATACTCTCTGTCTGGGATTCAGTTTGTCCTTATAAGTCCAAGATGCGTGATCATGCCTTTCGAATCTAGTTCATCTGGTTTGTTCGTGACAACAGTTTGTAGTTCACCAGTCTACTTATTATGCCGTTCTCTCTCCATTCTTGATGTAAGTCTCACGTAAACGAGTTCTTGGTCTGTGCCCATTTAATAATCACCTTTCTCTCGCCTGCCAGCTACGCCGGTCGACCTCCAAGCTCTTCGTCCGCCACTGGTCGCAAGTCTATGCACGTGATGGAGTCTTCTCAGATATACAAGGCAGCCCTCTTCGTCCCCTAGAGCACCGTCCTACTTACGTCCACTGCAGGGTCACCACGGCAGAGTTAGATTCTTTTGCGCATCTTTTTTGTCCTTTTCCTCCTTTTTTTCCTACACGACTTGCTAATGTCATGTTATTGCCTTTGGATGATCATTTTTCCACCCCATCAACGACACAGAAAGGTACCTAGGCCATTTTACTCCCCTTGCTGCTATGCCAATGGTGCATTTTCAAAGACTACTTCACCTTGTTGTGATTCCTGCCTTTTCGTATCGACCAACTACATGGGAATTTCCCATCTAGTTAAGAAAACTTTTATGATTCTTCCCCTCCTGGTGTTCAAGAATGTATTCGTTTTTTCTGTTAGACTCTGTTTACATGGTTCTCAATGGACGTTCAAGTTCCCTGCTTCTCTTTCCTCCTGATTTCCCGGGACTCCTTAGCTATGAAAATAGGCTGTCTGAGGGCTCCTGAAACCACTGTGGTCGGTGTGCTGTTTGGTAGACAGAAAGCGCCCCTGATTCTATATAATTACTGTCGGCTAAGTGGGCCAAGACCGGCGAAATTCTGAACAAAACAGGTATTGGTGTAAAAAAATCTGTATAGCTGTTAAGATGGTAAGGTTGGCTTTAGCCTCTTTCAGTCTCCCGTTACATCAAAAATCGAACTAGGGGTGAAATGATCTACTGCGTGCTTACTAGTACTTGCCCCATCCCCCAAGGTTTGTGAGCGTTTGCTATGCCATGATCAGCAAACCATGGCGCTTGCAAACTGATGCGCGCTGTCAGTTCTCCGGCACCTGGTTCTCTGGCGGTAGATGAGCTTGCACTCCCGCTGGGCACACAGGTCTTGTGCATGGCTTCCCAGTCATCCTCGCCCTCTTACTGACCTCTCACACTCACTAAATATGTCTAATCTACGCTGGTAGTTCTCCGGTAACTGGTTCTCTGGCGGTAGATGCGCTTGCGCTCCCGCTGGGTATACAGGTCGTGTACATGTCTGCTCAGTCATCCACGTGTGTTATTTTTGGTCAAAATTCTGGTCAAGTGTTTGTTGTGAATCATGGGGTATGGAGTGGAGCGCCAAGGTGCGGGTTCGACCGCGCCATCCACCTGCGCCTCCGCCTTCAGTCTTCTAGGCTATGTATTTGATTCTGGGCCCAGGTGTGGAGGTAGATTAAGTTCTGTAGATGCCGCGCTAGTCTACTCTCACTACAAATCAATTCACGCGCAAGTCACCGTGCCTGCATCACCTGGCTGTAGAGCACACGGTGGACATTGTCGGATGCAACGGTCGAACTATCACTTACCCCATCCGTGATCATACCCTATCCGATCGGTCACGTTGATGTCGCGAATTTTGCCTCCTCACAAAAGACGTTCTGCGTAAGCGGATCTGCAGAACTCGACCCACTCCCTTCCCCAGCGATGGTGATCGAGTACTGAGGGTCCGAGGGCGATCTGCATATCTTGGTGAAGTGTATTGGACCAGGATTTTGGCTGAGATCTTCGATGCTTCCACGTGGTTAGAGCACCGAATTGAGGGTAGTGACGTCAATCTCATGGGTGGACGGTAGAAAAACTTGTATAAACCACCACTACCACCATTCTTTCATGGCCCGAGATATCCTCGAGAGGTTTTTGCGGCAAAACACTTGAATCAACATCGGTGAGTTTTGCCTGATAGATCTTAGGCGACTGTGGTAAGACAACCCCGGTTTTCGCCCGTCTTCTGCATGCACAGTCCAGCATTTATAACTGACGAGATAGATGCCTGGTACACGCGGATTCTTGTGGCGATGAAGATATCGCGTCAGGTCAGCGGACATTTTAAGGGTTGCGAAAGCGCTTCGAGCAACATCGATTTGGTAGACGATGTCGTCTTTACGTTGCCTATTCGACGGTTACCTAACCAACCCCTTGTCAGGCTAACACCCACTAATCCCTAGGGACGCCTTCTGGTCAGAAATGCGTTTCGAAAACTAGTCTGTCTAATGTTGGCAGACTAATCAATTTAACGACCCCATTCACCATTGACAATGTCTTACGGGCCATCATACCTTAATGCCTGCTGGACTTTAGCGCAAGCGTAATCGAGATCAGTTCACTGCGAACTCAGTGCAGTCAAAACTATGCAGGGTCGTACCATGTATCCAGCCGTTGCCATAGTTAGGCAAGGTGAAGGGCAGAATGCATACTCTTCCTACGCCAGACCGAATGTCAAATGGTTGAGAGATATTTTTGCCGACCATGCCTCATACACTGAGGAAGGGATGACAGACCTTGGCAGCGGCAGTGATTTCTATCGATATACTGCCCACCCCCAACTATTCCTCACAAGGACCCGGTATGAATGGAATCGAACACCGCGATGACAACAGGGCAAACGGTCGCCGGTCTCTGGTAGCTATGGCGAAACTCGAGAATGCGCTGCGGTGTCCATGTGTGTCCGGTGCATCCGCGTCCAGCTTTGAACCCGGCTCACTTTGGTCCCTCCCTATAGTTCGGCCGTCGTTGCCGAGGATGTCCACCGTAAGCTCCACAGCATGCTGAAGCAAACGCGGTGGCTTGCGCGTGATTTAGTTTATAATTAATGTAGACTTTGGTTATCAAAAGTAAGAGATCCGGGTTGATAATCTGAGGAGAATGAAGTGCTCACCGGATCGGAAGACTTGTTCGGCTGACGTTTCGAAGAGCTGGGCCGGCTCTCCATTATCAAAGCGTCTAATGAAAAAATCGATCAGAATTTTGAATAGACAGCCGGATTAGTTGGCCGTGGGCTGGTCGATGTTTTTCTTCTTTCGCTGCCTTGGCCTACTGGCCGTCGCCTGTGAATGTTGGTGGCCTCCTGTATTGTGTGTCGTCACCTCAATTAAGGTTAGTTGCGTTTGCGTTCCTCTTTTGGGTGAATTGGTCGACAGGCCGTGTTTGCTCGGTAGTCTTAGGCTCCGTATGACCGTCTTGTCTTCGTCACAACGTATGTAGTGACGTGGGACCTTATAGGCCGAAGGAAGGTCTAGATGCCTGTTGATGGAGTTGGCATCTGAGTACCAAACCTCAAGTTTGAGACGTTCTGTCCTTGAGGTGCCCTTGCCTAAGACGGCTGCTCCTTGAAAATCAAAACTGTGACCAGTTTCCCCGATATGCGCCGCAAGCTGTGAGTTTGGGCCTAGTCTCCGAGTTGCCAGATTGTGCTCATGTAGGCGGGTCTACAATTTCCCTCCGGTTTCCCCAACGTAGTTGCCAGTCTCCATCGTTACAACGTATTTGATAGACAACTGTTGAGGTTTCAGTGAGTGGGCTTTCTGTGCGTCTACCGCACTCTCTCCTCCTCCACCTGGACCCGATATCAGGACATAGTCAAGAAGGTGACATATCGAGCCCGTACCTTGGCGCTCCACTCAACATCCTCTGATCCACGCTGAAAATGACCGGGTGTTGACCAACAACGACAACAGTTGATCAGAAGAAGAAGCGATCGCTGGAACAATGGCTTTATTCGCCTGACGTTTCGGATTCTCTCTTGAATCCATCATCAGAGACAGTTGCAGAAAAGGGTGGCTAGTGTACAGGCAGTCGCAGTATTTATAGGATGCGGTCGCCATGCTACCGCATACCTACAGCAATTAACCATGCTCCCTTCATCAAGGATTGTTGCCCGCAGGTGCGCCAATTGCTTGATGGCTGGCATGCAAGTTGTTAATTGCTGACATCTCATCACCCGTGTTGGATGCTGGCGAGATGATTGCTCGGCCATCTGGCTCACGTGCTTGCGCGCTCCTCGAGTGGTCAATTGCTTTGGCCAGTCTATGCCTCAGGACTGAATATGGAGTGGGGATGTCATTGCACTTGTTGATAGACTGAGGTCCCGTGAACCATGACTCAAGCAACTCGCGGCTCACGCGATTATCCCCTCTCGCGAGAATTTCGGCCTCATCGAACTTGAATGTGTGGCCGGGTCTCGTCGAATGGGCCGCGACCTGAGAGTTGGCGTCATTTCTCCGTACAGCTGCCACGTGTTCGGCAATTCGCGTCCGGAGCAGTCTTCCAGTTTCTCCGACGTAGTTGCTTTGTCCGCAACTGCACCAGATCCGGTAAACGACTCCAGATGTTTCTTGCCGTGGCAGTGGGTCTTTTGGTCTCATCACTTGACGCCTCATGGTGGCCTCCGGTCTGTGCGCAACTCCAACCCCAAGTGGTGCAAGAAGGCGGCTAACGGCCTCGGAGACGTTCTTGATGTACGGGATCGCTCGCCAGAATTTGGGGTCGGCGCGATCTTGTCGCTCGTCTCGTTTGCGCAGGCACTGGTTGACGAAGTTGCGCGGGTAACCGTTTTCTCGGAAAACCCGTCGAAGATATTGGGATTCGGCAACCTTGTCTTCCGGTTCACTACAATGCGTTTCAACACGCCGAAATAGCGTTCTTACGCAACTGCGTTTGTGGCAGATTGGGTGGTTACTGTTGAAGTTCAGAATTTGCGTCGTGTTCGTTGCTTTTCTGAACACTTTGGTCTTTAGGCCACCACAATCTTTGCGACAGACGAGGACATCAAGGAATGCCAGCTGGTTATTCTCTTCCTCCTCCATCGTGAATTGTATGTCCGGGAAGACGCTGTTGAGACGTTCTTTGAACGTTAGCACCTGATCCCGTTCGATGACGACGAAGGTATCGTCCACATACCGAGCCCAGAATTTCGGTCTGTGGTGTTGGAAGACCAGCGACTCCAACCGCTGTAGCACCGCCTCGGCGATGAATCCCGAAATCGGCGAGCCCATCGGTGTTCCCTTCACTTGCTCGTAGATTGTTCCATCAAACGTGAAGTACGTCCTGAGACAGAACTTTAGGAGCTGAAGGACTTGGCCATGTCCGAGAGGATTCTCCGTTTCATCGTATTTGTTTCGTAGGAGTAGCTGGACGGTCTCGGTTGCCAGATCCTGGGGGATAGAAGTAAAGAGGGACGTGACATCAAAAGATACCATGACCTCATTGGGCAAGAGACTTACTCCTTTAAGCTTCTCCAGGAATTGCGTTGACGACAACAGTGGGGGACGGCAACGGTCCCGATGCGCGCGACGTCTGCCGGCAACCCCGAAATATTGGCATTTGTAATGCTTCGCAATCCGATTACGCCTGCCAGAATCCGATATGGCCCCTGTGTTAGTCCAGCGCATCCACCATATGACCCGTTTAGGGGGATACGGATCCCTCCCAGAGTCGTTTACACTGACAGTGCTAAAGACCTCTACAGCAATGTCGGTTACAGTTATGCCCAAGCAGTTTGCGCACTGTCCTGCCTCTCTCCATGTGGACAGGCACAAGGGTGGTCGAACCCTAGTCAGTAGATGCGAACGCATCTCACGCTTGTTTAATCACCGGGACACCGGAGTGCCGACACAAGGCTCGTATTCGTAAGACAGCCTGTAGTTTACAAATGTTGCATGCTTCGCCACAGTCATTAGCTAGACACCCAGACACGTGTTTGGCTAATTCCCTACCGCTGCCTGACGCGACCGCTGGAGGCCAGATCTACCAGTGTGTCCCGCGTGATTTGTGATATCCACTTAAGTTTCAGTGTTGACCTCTGAAAGAAATGCGCGCACTTGTGGTAAATCCCTCAGGAGTGACCTTTCTAGGCTCTGTCCGAAGGTTTATGTGAATATTTGAGCCGAAATCCATTCGCCTCGGCGGGATAGCCGTGTGATTTTCATAAACTGCCAACAGGCAGCCAGTGGTGTACAAATACTGAATGGGTCCCCCACAATGACAGCCAGAAACGCATACCCGTGCTGCCAGCATGGTGAATCATGCTACATTTATAGCCTTTAGTAGACGAGGAAAAATGGCGGGTGAACAGTAGAGGGCGAGGTATTCGCATGTCACTAGATGGGAAGTGTTGTAGGGACATGACCTCCAAATATAGTAAGTGAGTTTATCAGTCTTGTTAAAAAGCGATTTAACATGCAGGAAGGATGGGATTGTCAATAGAAGCGAAGAGATGAGTCCCATGGAGCAGTCTTGAAGAAGGAGACACGATCGTGGGACAAGAGCTTTTTTAGCCTGACGTTTCGGACCCCTGCTCGAACTCATCAGCAGAGACCAAGGCAGATACGGGTGGGATGGGATATTGTAAGAAGAGCTAGTGCCACAGCAACGGAGAGATGGGACCTCTCTAGAAGTATTGTTAATGAATTCAGACTTGAGAGTGTCAAATTCGGCAAACGCACCGAAATTACTTCTGATTACTGACTAGGAAACCATCCAACGTCCGCAAAAAACATGATCCAAGCCTTCTTTGTGAAGCAGTAGGCTAACCGCAATTCCCTTCCGGGTGACTAACAACAATAACCACCACACGTACAGTGCGTGACAGATCTGATGAAATGTTCCGAAATTCTGAAATGCGTTTTCGACTACGAAGGATTAATAAGATGGCGTTGTAAGATTAATTATGATGTAGCATAATCCTGTAGTATTTCGGACTCGCCAGGATGTCCGATTTTGAATGCACTTCTTTCTGACTTCCCGCAGAAACCGCACTTGGCAAAAATGGCTACTTAAGTCGCACGCATTTTTGCACATTGATTTTGGATGGTCTTATAAATTCAAATATATTTTACAGAAAACATGCACAAAAATATGCTTTCTTTCACTCTTTTGGTAGAAAACCAAATTGGCTTTATATATTGTACCCTAAGTAGGGTTTTTTTAAATAGTTTCTCACTTCGAGGGTTTTAAGATCGTGCAATGTCCATATATACAGCATCGCACATGTCCGTTTACCAATGTTCCTCTTGAAGTCTACTACACATCCCGTATTCATTGCAAAATTATATTAACCGTATACAGTATCCTTCTAAAGGCATTGGGGAATATATGATTTTCCTTACGTGGAACGCATGCAACTTGTAGACTGAAATCGCTAAACGCTGATGAAAAGGCTGATCAAGCTCCAAATTATTCGGGAAACGGGAAACATTTTCAAAACTTAAATATGCACTTTTCCGGGTATCAAAGGTGAAGACAATGTGGTTTTCTACCAAAAGAGTGAAAGAAAGCATACTTTTGTGCATGTTTTCCATAAAGCATATTTGAATATATAAGACCATCCAAAATCAATGTGCAAAAATGCGTGCGACTTAAGTAGCCATTTTTGCCAAGTGCGGTTTCTGCGGGAAGTCAGAAAGAAGTGCATTCAAAATCGGACATCCTGGCGAGTCCGAAATACTACAGGATTATGCTACATCATAATTAATCTTACAACGCCATCTTATTAATCCTTCGTAGTCGAAAACGCATTTCAGAATTTCGGAACATTTCATCAGATCGCTCACGCACTGTACTACATAGGCAGTCATTGAGCGACCTCAGGCCGTCAGTGTGACTTAAAAAGGGGGGGGGGGGTGAGGACGTAAAATGGAATCCTGGAATAATTCGCAGTCATTAGGGAAAGAAGAATACATTGCGAATTGTCAGACTAAATACATTCTGTACACAGAAAAACACTGGAAATCTAGACGCAGGGCAGCTGGCGGAGACACACCTGTGTTCTTTTTTTAAAGAGAAGCGGTGTGGAAAAGTTTCTAGGACGGGGTGGTGATCAAAGCATTCATATTCGCACGCATAGTAACAATTTCGTTGGCTTTCGAGAGCTGAGTGGGCCACGAGTGTGACAACGCCTTAGTTACTGCAATTGGCTTGATATGCAAATTCTAGGTGCGACAATGTGAAGGAGAATTACCTTACAGCCTCTAGTGCAGCCCACTCAGTGACCTTCAAAAGTGTGCATGAACATGAACCTGGAGGGGGTATTTCAAATCAGACATGTTAAACTTAGAATATGATAGATTCTTATAGTACATCAAGCATCAGGCATCTTCATTTGCAGCAAAACATAATAATGGAATGATTTAGAACGGGTACTGTCTGCTCCACCAGCTGCTGAGCCACGGGACTTTTGAAGATGCCGCTCAACTCTCATTATGGACACACAAAAGAAGACGTTTTGTGAGAATGAAAAGACACTTAACGCAAGACTAGATTCCCTAGTAATACATGCACCGTTTTGATTTAGAAAACGACGTGGCATACATGCGTAGCTTTCGGTCAGTTCTCCCCGGGCCAGTACAATTATATGGAAACGGGGCAGAAGCAAAAACAGGTTAGTGATAAGAGAAATCGATTAAATTTCGTCTTACAACACAGGCGGGGTGGGGTGGGAAGTAATAGTAGTCGGTGCCAGAGGCAAGGTGAGAGCGGAAGGGCGCGGAAATTTGCGGCGTTAGTCGACCTTCGACCACTGTAAGTGCGGTGCCTGTACGCGTGGTTCTTCTGTGTCATTTATTCGGTGCTGGTTTACGTCAACGCGAGCCAGTGCTGTTCGTCTGTGTTTGATGTGTTAAAGACTTCCAAATATCGGTAGAAGAATAAGAGCGAGAAACAGAAAGGAAAGAGGGGGGAAATATATAACCGAAAAACAGAATGTATAATCGGCGGCTAATTTACTTATCATGGCGTCAACTTCAGTCTTTCGGACAAGCTCGATTTATAGGGACCTTCGATTTGACATTTTATGGGCTGCAAAGTGATAGAAAGAAATTCCGTTAAGTCTAGCCATTACACTTCCATAAGCAGAAAGTGGTCAAAGTGTTTACACAAACAATTTTCCAAATGATTAAAAATGAGTGAATATTCCAGAGATTAGAACTGGTGGGATAGCAGCAGAAGACGCAGAGATCTGAAACAGCAGAATGGTTTATAAGGTAAATCGCGGGTCGCAACTTTTCACTCGGGTTTGCTTGGCAAGGAACAATGCTTCTGGTCACAGTATGTTGTCCAAAGGACTTCCGAGATTTCGATGAGTATCCCTTTATTATTCCCCTCCATGTTTGACATGCCTTATCTCCATATTTTGCTTCATCCGCCGTTAGAATACATTTAATGCCAATAGAAGCGAAGAGACGGGTCCCAGGAAGTAGTCTTGAAAAAGGAGACACGATCGCCGGGACAAGAGCTTTATTAGCCTGACTTCTTCGGATTCCTACTCGAATCCATCATCAGAGACAAAAAAGCAGAAACGGGTGGTTGTTGCACAAGAGGCTGCGGTATTTATAGGATGCAGTAGCCATGCTACCGCATACCTATGAACATTCACGGCTCCCCCCTTCATCCGGGATCGTCGCACCTGGTGTGATCATTGCTTGTCGACATTCGAGTCGATAATTGCTGTAATTTCATCACGTGCGTTGGATGTTGGCGTGATGATTGCTCGACCATCTGACGCACCGACCCCGGTGTTGGGAAAAGTGTTCACCTATGCGCTCCCCGCATGGCTTGTTACTCCGCCTAGGCGATGTTTTAGCACGTAGTATGGAGTTGGAAGATCGTTGCACTTGTTGATGGACTGGGGGCCAGTAAACCATGATTCCAGTAGCTCCCGGCTCACGCGGTTGTCACCTCTTGCGAGAATTTCGGCCTCGTCGAATTTGGATGTGTGGCCGGATCTCGTCGAATGAGCCGCAACTTGAGAGCTGGCGTCATTTCTGCGCACTGCCACAGCGTGTTCGGCCATGCTCGTTCGGAGCTGTCTCCTGGTTTCTCCGACGTAGTAGCTTTGTTCGCAACTGCACCAGATCCGATAAACGACTCCAGACGTTTCCAGCCGTGGCAGTGGGTCTTTCGGTTTCATGACC